TTTTTAAAGCCTTGTTAGAGCCTTTTTAAAGCCTTGTTAGAGCCTTGTTAAAGCCTTGTTAGTGCCTTTTTAAAACCTTGTTAGTGCCTTTTTAAAGCCTTGTTAGAGCCTTGTTAAAGCCTTGTCAGTGCCTTTTTAAAACCTTGTTAGTGCCTTTTTAAAACCTTGTTAGAGCCTTTTTAAAGCCTTGTTATAGCCTTGTTAAAACCTTGTTAGAGCCTTGTTAAAGCCTTTACAGAGCCTTGTTAGAGACGCACCTTCCTTTATAAGACAAAGTCATGGGATAAAAGAAAATAACTGCCATTTTTATTGCTTTCAAAATATTGACAGTTTCAGTTACCAAGAAATTCAAATTCACACCCACCATCGCCAGAAAGGAAGGCCCTGAAAAATGAATATTAAAACATGGAATAAAGCTGAAATGCGTCATAAATCATATTTGTAGAATAAATTGACCTACCATTTAGAAAATTCAAGAAAAGGAAGTTAATTTCAATGTAGTGCAGTTATGTGCTTCTATACATGAGCACTAAGTAGAGATAAAGAATATTTACTAAGTTCGATTTTAGACAGTGATAGGTACATTTACACAGAATGGCATAACTTTAAAGACAGGAGACTTCAATGCTAACATAAAGAAGGAATATAATGATATGGGACGACTATAACAAGTCATGGCCTAGAAATACAGGATATGGGAAGATAATGGGAGTCATGGCCTGGGAATTCAGGATATTGGGAGATATTGGGGAGCCATGGATAATGGCAGCTAATGGGGACTCATTGCCTAGGAATACAAGATATTGGAGATAATGTGGCGTCATGGCCAAGGAATACAAGATTGGGAGATAATGTGGTGTCATGGCCTAGGAAAACAAGATATGGGGAGATAATGTGGTGTCATGACCTTGGAATACAAGATATGGGGAGATAATGTGGTGTCATGACCTTGGAATAAAGGATTTTGGGAGATAATTTGGTGTCATGAAATTGGAATACAAGATATGGGGAGATAATTGGAGACATGATCTTGGAATACAGGATATGGCAAGATAATGAGTAGTAATGCACTAGGAATTCAGGATATGGGGAGATAATAGGGAGTCATGACCTAGTAATACAGGATATGTTGAGATGATGGGAAGTAATGCCCTACGAATACAGGATATAGGGGGTCAAGGCCTAGGAATACATCTTGTGGGGAGGTAATGGAGAGTCATGGACTAGGAATACAGGATATTTGGAGATATTGGCGAGACATGGCCTAGGAATACATGATAGAGGGAGATAATGGGTAGTCATGGCCTAGGAATACATGATATGGGAAAATAATGGGGAGTCATGGCCTAAGAATACAGGATATGGTAAAATAAGGGGGAGTCATGGCCTAGGAATACAGGATATGGGAAAATAATGGGGAGTCATGGCCTAGGAATACAGGATATGGGGAGATAATGGGGAGTCATGGACTAGGAATACAGGATAGAGGGAAATAATGGGGAGTCATGGCCTAGGAATACATGATAGAGGGAGATAATGGGAGGTCATGGCCTAGGAATACATGATAGAGGGAAATAATGGGGAGTCATGGCCTAGGAATACATGATAGAGGGAGATAAATGGGAGTCATGGACTAGGAATACAGGATATGGGGAGGTAATGGGGAGTCATGGACAAGGAATACAAAATATACGTAGATTTGAGTGAGATATATGCTTGTATTTTAAAATATAGAATTGAGAAATACTCACTGATTTCTTAACGGACAATGAACTAGTGATATGATGAAGAATATTTTAACACAAGGATATCAACAAGGCAACACAGATGCCTCTGTTCAGTCAGATTGACAAAGTTTTGATCAAGCCGATAGTAAGACTGATCTTAGCATATAAATAAGAAAGAATTATACTGACATAACGCCAAAAAAACCCGAATATATTTTGATACGTTTGGATTCTCAAAAACAATCATAGTTATTTTCTGTTATTTTACGGAAACCGAATAAATATACATCTTACCTCTTTTCTTTTTTGTTTCGCTTGAAAACATCGGGCTCTTTCTCAAAATGCCCGATACTGGTGTAAAAGCATTTTACCCCGGTTAAGCAATAGAAATAATAAAACTACATCCGGTTACGTCTTGGTGTGCTTGTAACACGAAAAAAAAATTAACAACAGATTTGCGAAAGAGGAAACCTAAATACAATTACCCACAAGCCAATCAAAACCAAACTGTGAAAAAAAAAATCATTTGGATTATACAGCTGATACTTTTAACACTCCAGATACGGGTAACGATAACAAGCAATCAAACACATCATAGTGAAAATATGTTTGTTCACAATTATTAATATTGCTATAAATTGTCTTTTTATTAAAGGCATGTTTTACGCAATCATAAACACATTTTAAATAAAAGGTGATAATTTTTTTTTTTTTTTTAAAAATAAGGAAAACGCAGTCAAAGTTATCCCACAAACGGGGTAACATCCTAAATAGAAATAATGATAATAACATTGAATGCAATCTATGAATGAACAATCGTAATGTCGTTAACATACCACCTTTAACACTGAGACGAACTTCATAAAATCTGTTATAGAAAGAATTTGTATGTGTAAACTTACTAAGGAAGTTGTTTGTCTTAACTTACAAGCAAAGCAGCGCGTGATTTTTTTTATGTTTAGTTTACTGAAGTCAGATCCTAAAGTTCTAGTCGTGATTGATGGTCGATACCCATACACTTTTGTTGTTTTTACGATGGGATGATACATGTATATACACTTTTGCTGTGTTCAAATTTAGTCATGAGAGATGGTCAATGTCTATTTACTTTTGTTGTTTTCATATTTTAGTTGTAATAGATGTAATATATGGTCCATGTCAATAAACTTTTTTTTTTTTTCACTTTGTAGTCATGAGAGATGGTCCATGTCTATACACGTTTGATGTGTTCATATGCCGCTGCCTTCAATTTTCTTAATGACTTCGCTCATTCACCCATAGATACCCACATACAGCCACTTAGCCTAAATACACCCAAATCCATAGAGAAACATTTTTTTTTACAAAACTTTATTCCTATTTAAGAGATGATTTTAAAATTAAAACGAATCAGATTTAATCTTTTCATGCATTTGATATTTCAATTTTTCAACCATTGCTTTTATCACACAAACACACAAACATATTCTCACGCACACTCACTCACACACATTCATGTAAAGACACCTTCCCTCTCTTCCCCTATCTCTCTCTCCCCTCCTCTTACACTGTTATCAAGCAAGAGTAGTTTGAAGAGATAAATAGATTGGTGAATGCTGACTCAAATTAAACAAATTTAACTATCACTACTTTCTATATTTATCTTGAAATCTATTTTATTGTAACATTAAAGGCTATGTTAGTGTTGTATAAGTAGTTTGAGATCTATTTTTAGTAACATTGAAGATCGTTTGATATTTATAAAATACAACTGCTGATTTACTATGTTAATATTGATTTATATAAAGAAAACATTCACACTACAATTTTCTATCACTAGTTGTTAAGATTCCACTTTTCACACGCATGTTACACAGACTAATTGAAGGATTTTGTGAGACTTACAAGAATACGGAACTTAAGGAATAATCACACTAGCACACAGTCATTCTATTAGGCGCGGGACAAAGCTATTTAATATAGAGCCTTCACTGTGAGACTTAATGGAATACAGCATTTTAGAAACAAACACAATAGCACCCAGTCATTCGATTAGGAGTGAGACAGAGCTATTTATAGAGCCCTCATTGTAAGGCATATCTGTTTAATTTAGAGCTCTCATTCATTCGCTTTCTTTTACCGTATAAAAATTAAAAGTCTGTTTAGAACTAAAATGTGACAAGTGTTCTTATTTTACAGTGCTTCCAGGTCATTCTACAGCCCCTGCTAGAGACAATGGTTTACAGGAACCCGGGTTCAGTGGCTTTTGGAGAAAGGTCACTCAGATGTTACAGTGGTTTCTGTATTTGATGAGAAAATTGCTCCAAGAAGCATGGATATAGTGGCTAATATCTCGAAGAAGCCTGGATAACGTGGCTAATGTCTCGAAGAAGCCTGGATATAGTGGCTAATATCTCGAAGAAGCCTGGATATAGTGGCTAATATCTCGAAGAAGCCTAGCAATAGTGGCTAATTCTCGAAGAAGCCTGGATATAGTGGCTAATATCTCGATGAAGCCTGGCAACAGTGGCTAATATCTCGAAGAAGCCTGGCAACAGTGGCTAATATCTCAAAGAAGCTTGGCAATATTGGCTAATATCTCCAAGGAACATGGAAACAGTGATTAATATCTACAAGAAGCCGGGATTTAGTGGCTAACATCTCGAAGAAGCCTGGCAATAGTGGCTACTATCTCCAAGAAGCCTAGCAATAGTGGCTAATAAAAGATGAAGAGAAAACGCCTCAGGAATTCTTGTTCAGTTTGCTTTACAGAAATTTTTTAAACTTTTCTTTTTTAATGAAGGCTACCCCCTAACCCCCCCCCCCCACCCCAGTAATGTGAAAAGAACCATTATAAAAATTGGCACTGTTTGACCACTACCAGAACAACTATCCATTTAAAACAAAAATTATGAAATTAAATCATTAAACAAATATTCAAGCTTGACATAAGGGATTTTTTCAAGCATAAAATAAATTTAAGATCCTTAGCCTTAAATACTGTGCTAAAGTAAGTCTGAATAAATTGTATCTGTGGCGTACAGATCTGCAACTAATTCATAACAAATGAAGACTGAAATACAAATCGTTTTGTTAATGAAAACACTATATGATATAGATCAGTGCCATTTGACAGCGCAGTGTGTTGAACCAGGTGCACTTCTTGCAGTCGATCTCTACTGCCTTGCAACAGTTATTTCCAAATAGTGTTTTTTGTTTTCTCTCTTTTTTTTTTTGGATCTTGATATTTATAGTCAATGAGTTACACATCACAAACATTTGATATGAGTTTTCCCTGTTGCCCTATTGGCCTCAGATGAGAAGTAGCTTCACCCACGGAGTCCAGTGTGGTGTAGACCTTGTTCGGACTGACAGAGTACAGTGTGGTGTAGACCTTGTTGGGACTGACAGATTCCAGCGTGGTGTAGAGCTTGTTGGGACTGACAGATTCCAGCGTGGTGTAGACCTTGTTGGGACTGACAGATTCCAACGTGGCGTAGAGCTTGTTTGGGCTGTTTGAGGGTTGTTCTTCAGATTTACTGGAATAAAACGAGGAAGTGATAGAGTAAAAAATTACAATTACAAATTTTTTAATTAAAATGTTCAAAATGTTAAAGTATGCAAATACTGATAACTTAAAACCTTTACAATAATATTAATCTACATGATAACAAAATTGGTGTCGGACAATATGGAAACAATATAAATTATATAATACTAGGTTACTACCGGTAGTGATAAGTATGGTTTAACGTTATAAAATATACATGTTGTTCTAATTTAATAAAAGATGCATAATCAGTTAATGTCTATCAGCTTGCTGACTGTATTTGTATTAGGGGAACAAGTTGTCCGGCTTTAATAGAAGTTTTAAATTTTACAAGTCATGTTAGCTTTCCTTTGTAAAAAAATGCAAGTTATCGGAAAACAACAAAATAATCTTGATCGAGTCTATTTTCCAATGTGTTTAAAACATGTTTAAAGATAACCTTTAAACAGTACCTTGCCAGAGAGTTGTCAGATTCTACCGGTGCCTCAGTTGTGCCGCATTCTGCACCATCCTCAACGTCCGAGCCTTTGCGTTTAAATGTTGGGGAATGTCCACTAGTACCGGGGGTTGATGATCCCGAGCCCTGCCCATCTATTGGGGACGGATTAGTTCGTCCTGGTGTTTGCTGTTTACCCTGTGTTCCACAAGAGTCGGGAATGCTCGTTTCATTGCCCTCCAGTTCTGAATAGGGATTTTTGTCATCTCCGCACTGAGACGAGGAGGATCTCCTGCTGGTCCCAGGCAATAACATAACACGGACTTCCTTTGAATGCGTTGAGTTCCTGGACACAGAATCTATTTCCCAGTAGTCTACCCGGTCAAGTTCTGTAATACATGTTGTTTCTGATGGTTTGGTCCTGTTACTTGGAGTGGTAGGCGAGGTGGGGCTCTGTGTGTGTTGATGTCATCAAAAATATTTTATATAATTTTTTTTTTTACATTAAAAAGATTTTCTAAAAGATTTGTACACATTTTTATACATATATCTTAGTTGCTCCCACACTGCCTTGCGGAATATTTATATATTTAAAAAAAAATGTATCAAATTCATGTGCTTTTTGGTATGAAGAGATTATTAATTTATGATGCAAAATATTAATTGGGAATTTAATCTAAAAAAATTTCTACACACAATAATTGTTCATTACTGCAGAAATTCTTAACCAGTTTCTGCTACACACCCTTACTTGGTATATATTTTTTTTAAAATGCACACAAAAACACTGTAATTTGTTTAATATCCTCTAAAAGTTTGAGACATGCAAAAATGCTCAGGTATAGACATAGATAACAAAATCCCATTTCCGGTAAAATGTAATTCATAGCATAATACCCTAGGGTTCACGAGACATAGATGATTGACCTTATAACCACCCCCCCCCGCCCAAACCCCACACTACGATTCCTTATGTCAACCAGTTGGAGTAGACAGGCAGTTTAGCGAGATACATGGTAATGTTGTAACCGGCCCCTGGGGTCAAAAGTCCATGACCTGGTCCTAGTTTTTGGTTTTGGAGTTACACACTGACACGCACTTGCGCACGCACGCACACACATACACACATACAGACACACACAAACACATCGTATCTGTATATTTTGCTTCTGGTGTGGCTGATTCCTTTTCACAAATGGCCCCCCCCCTACTCCACATGTTTTATATTAATAGAACAAAGTAAACGTCGTGCGTGACGTCATGCGTGATGTTTGGGCTCAGATACAAAGAATAATTTTTTCTATAGGTTTCGGGGGGGGGGGGACGACTAAATTATAGTAATCAACATAGAGCCATAGGTATGATGTAGGACTGTCTGGATGACTGTTATGTAAGGTGTAGGAGTTTATGTAGGACTATTGTTTAAAGGCCGACAGGTACGGTGTAGGACTGTCTGTAGGACTATTGTTTAGGGTCCAGCATGTAGAGTGTAGTAATGTCTGTAGGGCTATTGTTTAAAGCCCGGCATGTAGAGTGTAGGACTGTCTGTAGGACTATTGTTTATAGGCCGGCAGGTAGAGTGTAGGACTGTCTCTAGACCTATTGTCCAAAGGCCGGCAGGTAGAGTGTAGGACTGTCTCTAGACCTATTGTCCAAACGCCGGCAGGTAATGTGTAGGACTGTCTGTAGGACTATTGTTTAAAGGCCGGCAATTAGATTGTAGGACTGTCTCTAGACCTATTGTCCAAAGGCCGGCAGGTAGAGTGTAGGACTGTCTGTAGGACTATTGTTTAAAAGCCTGCATCTATTATAGACAATTAGAACTTTTAATACTTTCTCAAAATACCCGGACCCGTTTTAAAAGAAAGTTAAGCCACACTATATAATATTAGAAGGAAATACAGCACGCACCCCATTAAGCCACACTATATAATATTAGTAGGAAATACAGCATGTACCCCATTAAGCCACACTATATAATATTAGAAGGGAATACAGCACGCACCCCATTAAGCCACACTATATAATATTAGAAGGAAATACAGCATGTACCCCATTAAGCCACACTATATAATATTAGAAGGGAATACAGCATGTACCCCATTAAGCCACACTATATAATATTAGAAGGGAATACAGCATGTACCCCATTAAGCCACACTATATAATATTAGAAGGAAATACAGCACCTACCCCATTAAGCCACACTATATAATATTAGAAGGAAATACAGCACGTACCCCATTAAGCCACACTATATAATATTAGAAGGAAATTCAGGACGTACCTCATTAAGCCACACTATATAATATTAGAAGGAAATACAGCAGGCACCCCATTAAGCCACACTATATAATATTAGAAGAGAATACAGCATGTACCCCATTAAGCCACACTATATAATATTAGAAGGGAATACAGCATGTACCCCATTAAGCCAAACTATATAATATTAGAAGGGAATACAGCATGTACCCCATTAAGCCACACTATATAATATTAGAAGGGAATACAGCACGCAGCCCATTAAGCCACACTAGATAATATTAGAAGGAAATACAGCATGTACCCCATTAAGCCACACTATATAATATTAGAAGGGAATACAGCACGTACCCCATTAAGCCACACTATATAATATTAGAAGGAAATACAGCACGTACCCCATTAAGCCACACTATATAATATTAGAAGGAAATACAGCAGGCACCCCATTAAGCCACACTATATAATATTAGAAGGGAATACAGCATGTACCCCATTAAGCCACACTATATAATATTAGAAGGAAATACAGCACGTACCCCATTAAGCCACACTATATAATATTAGAAGGAAAAACAGCAGGCACCCCATTAAGCCACACTAGATAATATTAGAAGGAAATACAGCATGTACCCCATTAAGCCACACTATATAATATTAGAAGGGAATACAGCATGTACCCCATTAAGCCACACTATATAATATTAGAAGGAAATACAGCACGTACCCCATTAAGCCACACTATATAATATTAGAAGGAAATACAGCAGGCACCCCATTAAGCCACATTATATAATATTAGAAGGAAATACAGCATGTACCCCATTAAGCCACACTATATAATATTACAAGGAAATACTGCATGTACCCCATTAAGCCACACTATATAATATTAGAAGGGAATACAGCATGTACCCCATTAAGCCACACTATATAATATTAGAAGGGAATACAGCATGTACCCCATTAAGCCACATTATATAATATTAGAAGGAAATACAGCACCTACCCCATTAAGCCACACTATATAATATTAGAAGGAAATACAGCACGTACCCCATTAAGCCACACTATATAATATTAGAAGGAAATACAGGACGTACCTCATTAAGCCACACTATATAATATTAGAAGGAAATACAGCAGGCACCCCATTAAGCCACACTATATAATATTAGAAGGGAATACAGCATGTACCCCATTAAGCCACACTATATAATATTAGAAGGGAATACAGCACGCACCCCATTAAGCCACACTATATAATATTAGAAGGAAATACAGCACGCACCCCATTAAGCCACACTAGATAATATTAGAAGGAAATACAGCATGTACCCCATTAAGCCACACTATATAATATTAGATGGAAATACAGCATGTACCCCATTAAGCCACACTATATAATATTAGAAGGGAATACAGCATGTACCCCATTAAGCCACACTATATAATATTAGAAGGAAATACAGCACGTACCCCATTAAGCCACACTATATAATATTAGAAGGAAATACAGCATGTACCCCATTAAGCCACACTATATAATATTAGAAGGAAATACAGCATGTACCCCATTAAGCCACACTATATAATATTAGAAGGGAATACAGCACGCACCCCATTAAGCCACACTATATAATATTAGATGGAAATACAGCACGTACCCCATTAAGCCACACTATATAATATTAGAAGGGAATACAGCACGCACCCCATTAAGCCACACTATATAATATTAGAAGGGAATACAGCATGTACCCCATTAAGCCACACTATATAATATTAGAAGGGAATACAGCATGTACCCCATTAAGCCACACTATATAATATTAGAAGGAAATACAGCATGTACCCCATTAAGCCACACTATATAATATTAGAAGGGAATACAGCATGTACCCCATTAAGCCACACTATATAATATTAGAAGGGAATACAGCATGTACCCCATTAAGCCACACTATATAATATTAGAAGGGAATACAGCATGTACCCATTAAGCCACACTATATAATATTAGAAGGAATTACAGCACGTACCCCATTAAGCCACACTCTATAATATTAGAAGGAAATACAGCACGCACCCCATTAAGCCACACTAGATAATATTAGAAGGAAATACAGCATGTACCCCATTAAGCCACACTATATAATATTAGAAGGGAATACAGCACGTACCCCATTAAGCCACACTATATAATATTAGAAGGAAATACAGCACGTACCCCATTAAGCCACACTATATAATATTAGAAGGAAATACAGCAGGCACCCCATTAAGCCACACTATATAATATTAGAAGGAAATACAGCACGTACCCCATGAAACCTTTTCATGGACTCTCAAGGATTCCTCGTGCCACATGTTGATAACCCTTGATGTACTCCAATACAATGACGCACATATGACACAATGAAGTGTAAAGAAACGAAAACACAACAAAGCAATACTGAGGTGTTTTCCTCTCTGCCGGGTCTGTACTATTTCATACAATATGTTTGTTAGAGGAAGCTCAATAAATTATTCGAAAGTCATCACCAACGCTCAACACGTCGAAATGAAATGTAACACTGTTTGGGACTTTTGTTAATGGTTTGTTGTTTTTTTTTTGCTTTTTAGCTCTAGTTAAAGTTTAAAAAAAAAATAATAATAAATGAAATGTATAATAATTTTAGATGACCTAATAATGAAGAGAAACTATTTGTTTCTTGGGAAGGGAGATCTTCAACGTGCCGCTTCGTGGCCCGATACGCGGGCTTGGGGGGCATGGCTTGGGGGGCATGGCTTGGGGGGCATGGCTTGGGGAGGGTATAAAGAACTAGGTAAGATGCTTGCCGGCTCGCTGACGCTATTTTATAGTGTTCTACTATTTCAGTTAGCGATATCATTGAAAGCTCTCCCGTACTTTTTCAATATCTTCAAATATGCAGTTATTAAGTTGTATTATAAGGGGTGACATCCAAGGATCACCAGATTGCAGCCTTGGGAGATCGAACAATATGTCAACCTTAAATCATATTTATTTATTTAGGCATTTTTATATAGAGCTTACCTTAAAGCTCTAAGCGCTTTACAATTATTAAAAACATGTAAACTAAGTAAAATAAAAAATATCAAAACCTTAAGAGGGCCCTGACCATTGACTGAATCGCGACTATACATATATATTTTTTAATTTTAATATCATCACCTGACTTACCATATCAACTGAACTGTTTCCATCGTCTGCGTGTTCTGACGTTGTCCGTGGTTTGAATGGCAGCCATCTCTGGATCATTCCATCCCTCAAGTGACTACATCAATGAAAAAAAACCTATAGTTTTATGTTTTCAGTGTTATGGAAAATATTTTTATAGTTGCCATTACGAAATCAATGTCAGATACAATTAACAGCAGTTTACAGATTAGAACATGAAGCTTCAACAAAATATAGTTTTTTTACAGAGCAAATGATTGTGGGGGTGGGGGTGGGGTTGAAGTGGAAGGGGTTCAAACAGTTGTTTTATTAAAAGCTTGTGCAGCTCGGAGTGAACTTTCCTTTGACCTTGCTCACTCAAGAAAACCACACAACTCTCAGGATATACATCAAACGTAAGCAATATAAAGTATATAATAGTAATAATAATAATTAGTGGTCTTTTATAGCGGGGTATCCCAGCCTAGGGCTGGGCTCACCGCGCTGTACATAAAAATATTATCAAAAGAGACATAATCATGACATTACAATCAAATATTTTGAAATAAAGAACAGCATGAACCCCAGGACTTTTACAAGGCAAACCATGGACGGCAGCCAACAAGATCACTTATTGGTCAGAGGAAGGGAATCAGTCAGGGTAGTATAGTATAAAAAGATGTGTTTTGGTTGCAGGCTTGAAGGCCTGGGTGGTTGGTATATTGCGAAAGTATCACTCCGCACAAAGTGCCCCGTTGTCAAACCGTAACACCACTTACCCCACTCTCTTCATGCGCTAGTGGATCCAACCACTGTAAAAATGTTTCAAGACGATATATCAATTCCACATTGAGCTATTGGACAGGGCAGCAGGATGGCAAATATGCGTCCAATACAAAGAAATGCATTTATGCGCCCTTTTCCTTTGCATGATCAATTACGATAGTAGCGCCCCTTACGCTTAACCCTGAGTAAGACAGAAGGTTACCACCCCGAGTAAGAGAGCAGGTTACGACCCTGAGTTACACTGCAAGTTTAAAAAAAAAAATTTTTGGAAAAAAACTAAATGAGATCTACGATATTTTAATTAGTTTCAATAACCTAATTAATAATCTGACATACTCGATCTGTGTGATTAAAGGAGGCATTTAAAGTAAGCAAAGAAGGTAGATACAGAGGTGGCCAATAAACATAGGGCAGTTAACAAAGCTCTCAAAAACAGTTTTGAGAAGGGCAAAGAAGAACTGAATACTGCTCAGAGCTGTATAATGAATATATGAAAATATACACAGATATCCTTGATGTCCCTCCAGCAAAGGACATTGAAAACTACCTTATTCTCCGCGCAGATGGAGAAACAGCATTCCAAGCACTCCAAACAAGAAAGACCGCAGGTGTGGATAATATCCCTGCCGAGTTGGTGAAACAAGGACTAAAAGCAATGATGAGTGCCCTAATCAACATTTGTAACAAAATATGGCTGACGTAGGAATGACCAAAATCATGGACCCAATGGCTCATCATCACCCTCTGCAAGAGAGGTAACCTACAGCTATGCCAAAACTATCGCACCATTAGCCTAAGAAACCACACAAGCAAGGTCATGCTAAAGGTCTTTTTGAACCTACTAAAACCATATGTCGACAAAATCATTGCGCAAGAACAGGCGGGCTTCAGGCAAGGACGTGGCACTATTGAGTACATTCTAAAAATCCGAAAACTATGTTAGAAATATGCTCAACACCAACAAAACTTATACCACGTCTTTATGGATTGCAAGGAGGCATTCGACAGGGTTTTGCATGCTGCTTTATCGGCAACCATGAGACACTACAACATCAACACAAGCCTAGTAAGAATGATAATCAGCCTCTATTATAAAGCATCCAGTGCATTTTCTTCACCAATACCATCGAAGAATAGTTCAAGACCACGGTTGGTGTACGACAAAGCTGCTTGCTCTCCCCCCCCCCCGTTCAACATACTTTTTGAGACAATTATGTCACATGCACTGGAAGCGCATGTAGGGACAATCAGTATTGGTGGCACGATCCAACGTTTTGCCGATGACATAGATGGATTTCAGTGCTTTTTCTTCCCCAATACCATCGAAGAATAGTTCAAGACCCCGGTTGGTGTACGACAAAGCTGCTTGCTCCCCCCCCCCCCCCGTTCAACATACTTTTTGAGACAATTATGTCACATGCACTGGAAGCGCATGTAGGGACAATCAGTATTGGTGGCACGATCCAACGTTTTGCCGATGACATAGATGGATTGGCTGGAAACGAAGAAGAGCTAGCCAACCTATCTCAACAAGATTTCATCTTCCGTTTGCATTCAAATCAGTGCAGAAAAGACAAAATTGATGAAAAATAACATCAACGGCATCTCCAATGAAATTAAGGTCGGGGAGGAAAGATTAAAGACAGTATGCAGCTTCAAGTACCTAGGATTAATAGTCTGGGAAGAAGGCTCCAAGCCCGAAGTTATGTTCAGGATTGCCTAGATCACAACAGTACTAAAGAGGAGTAATAAAAAAAATTAGCCCCCAGCACCAAAATCAGGCTGGTGCGCTAATTAGTTCTCCCAATTTTCTTGTATGCCTGCGAGTCCTGGACAATAACAGCATAACTTGAAAGGAAAATTAAGGTGATAGAGATGAGATGTTTCAGAAGCATTTTTGGAATCTGCTATAGAGACCATATCTCTAACGAACAAGTGTAAGAAATGATTCGTCAAGCAAATGGGCAGTATGTTGACCTCTTGGTGGATGTAAAAAAAGCGTAAAATGGAATGATATGGCCACGAGATAAGAAAAAAAGGGCTCACCAAAGAAGTCATGCAGGGCACAATGAGAAGAGGAAGAGGAAGACTGAGAAAAATATTGGAAGATGACATCAAAGAGTGGACGGGAGTAAAGCTCGGCGATGCTGGGCGAAGTGCAGGAAAACAGAGAAATGGAGAAGGATAGTTTTCATGTCATCTGTGGCGCCCGAAAGTTCCCAGGACTAAGGGACATGATGATTATGGTGATGAATTCATAAAAAGAATTATTTAAAAAAAGACCTTTTCTCGATATGGCCATGATTTTCAGGTGGCGACCATAGAATGTATATCCTATGGTTTTATATCAGTGCGATGTCAATGCAATGAAAGAAAAGCCCTTCGACCAGTTGTAATGGAAGAGTGTGTTGATGATGGCCATGTTCCACAATGGGTTACAGTGTCATTGCTGATACAGGCCAGAGTCCTTTTACCTGGTAGTGATATGGATAATGATGCGAATGATATCAGTTCCATTGTGTGTTTATTCTTCTTCTTCTATATCTTAAGGGCCCACGATCAATTTATTGATCAGTTTGGCTCCTATGCATGTAGATGGGATTTGCAATGTTTCTGTTACTGGCGTTGATGAGGAAATCATGCACTAGGGGTTTGAAGGCTTGAGGCAATAGACACAAATGTGTCTAGTGTTGTCGCCTCAACCGTTCCTTTTGAAAGATTGTTCCAGTCCCTGATTCTATTATTGCTGAATCTATTCCAACGGCATAGAGCTACGGCCTTCAGTCAACGTAGAGATCTCGCTGTGACACAATCAGATGGTAGCCTCGGCCTGAGTTTCTAGTAGTGATGGCATCGCGTTATATCAAGGAGTCCATCAAAAACCTGCCACTTATGTTTTGTTCATTTCTTTTCTTTTGCGTCCGGCTAGTGGGCAGACGGGTTTAAACCAACGCTAAATCAAGTGCCGTCAACAGACCGTGGCGATTGTGGCATTGTCCTCGGTATTTTCATCATGCCATAGATTGTCAAGTAGCGAGGATGGCTTTAAAAAACTAATGATGTATCCCACTGGGATTACAAGACAAGACAGCTAATATGGTAATCGAAACTCTTTTAAAATTTTAAACTTGAAAAGATGAGCCAGATGCCCATGTCAACTATACACAGAATGACACGTCCAGAGACATTGGCCCGATGCTCATGTCAAATGTGCAGAGAATGACACGTCGAGAATGATTGGACATATGCTCTCGTCAAATGTACACATAATGACACGTCCAGAGACATTGGCCCGATGCTCATGTAACATGTACACAGAATGTCACGTTGAAAGCCATTCTTAGTTGAGATTTCAAGTGTTTTGTCAATATGTGGTATCTTATTATTAAAAAATATTTTTATAAAAAATTGCTAATACTACTTTTGTTGGGCCTACAGCTTTGGCTGCACTCTTTAGTGGCGGCTTCACAATAAACTACTAGTGGTGAACATTAGTTTCGCTGTTAGCTTTACAGATGGATTAAATACACTGTGCAAATAACACAGATGAAGATACTGTGATTTAACGTATACCATTACTGACACAAACTATGCAGTGTACAATCTCCAAGGGAGAAAATTAAGGAGAAAAAACAAATAATTCTCATAAATTGTTATAAAATGAATTGCTTGGAATAGAGTATGGCGAACCCAATCCCAAAAAGAACAAAAAGCGCGCAACAAAACAATGAACGTTCGGCACGAAGCAGAGGCGTAGCGTGGTGGCGGCAGGGGGGACAGATGTCCCCGGGCGCCAGCTAGTTAGGGGCGCCAAAATGTGCTTTGATATTATTTTATTGATGAAAATAATGGATTTGAGAGTTGAAAAATTGGATCTTGTCCCCGGGCGCGAATCTTGTCCCCGGGCGCCAAGCACCCTCACTTTGCCACCGGCACGAAGACTTCGCAAGCGAACAAAGAACGGTAAAAATAATAAAGAAATAAACCTTTAGATTGCAATGTAGTGTGCGAACCGACAAGGGACAACAAGCGGAATTTTATAAAGACCATATACATTTGAGTGTTTGGAGTCTTTCAGTGGTCAGCCATGGCACGACTACACCACTACTGAGGAGGCCGTGCCCACCTGGATACCGCTCAAACAACCGGGGATGAATCTGTCACCAGATAGAAAAGACGTTACGTCACCCCGAGTACCTACGACACACAAATACAGCAGCACACGCAGATCGAGTACTTACACACGACACACGAACACAGCAGCACACACAGATCCAGTACTTACACACGACACACCGACACAGCCATGGGCGCCCGCAGAAAACTTTCCAGGGGGGGGGGAAATCAATTAACTTTCCGGGGGGGGGGGCAAAAATTTTTTAGTAATGTTTTAATATAGTTTTAATTTACTGTAGCGTATTTGAATGGTGAACGAACGGACAGGACATCAGCTTAGTTACTTTCTCTTTATTTTCTCTTTACTTTAATAAAATTTTTGTGGACACAGCCCACACACAGATCAACTACTTACACATGACACACCGACACAGCCCACACACAGATCGAGCACTTACACACGACACACCAGCACAGCAGCACTCACAGATCAAGTACTTACACACGACACACCGACACAGTCCACACACAGATCGAGTACTTACAAAAGACACACCTGCACAGTAGCACTCACAGATCAAGTAATTACGCACGACACACCGACACAGCCCACACACAGATCGAGTACTTACACACGACACACCAGCAGAACAGCATTCACAGATCAAGTACTTACACATGACACACCAGTACAGCAGCTCTCACAGATCAATAAGCCTATACACCACACTCCGACACAGCAGCACACACATATCGAGTACTTACATACGACACACCGACACAGCAACACACACAGATCGAGTACTTACACACGACACACCGACACAGCAGCACATACAGATCAGGTACTTACACACGACACACCGACACAGCAGCACACACAGATCAGGTACTTACGCACGACACAACGTCACAGCCCACACATAGGTCAAGATGACCGTCACGATTCCAGCCATCAAACTCAGCACAATAATGAAGGCGTTGTCACCGTCGCTATTGCCATTGCCATCATCTTCAACATCTCCACTGCTCTCATCTCCAATATATTTATTTCCCTCTGCACTGTCATCATCGTTAAAATCTATAGATGGATGAAACTTGTCATGTATTGGTTTGAAAGCATTTTGAAAGAGGTGTTTGAATAGCTTGAATGAAAATTGATTTAACTTACGCTAAGTAACACTTTGAAAAGGAGAAGAAACCAATAACGATACAATTTAGAATGAATTTAATGTTTATTTTATTTTTCTCAGATAAACCCAAAATTATTGATTTTGATTGCCTTTATTTATAGCATCCCAATCAATTTTCTCCGCATGTCCCTCCTTTATTGAACCCCATTTCCCTATCTCAACAATCACATTTCTACACATCCCCACATTATTTTTTCCCTTAATCCTGCTGAAAAAGTTCCACGTCTATTGTGTTCCTTAGCCCCCCCCCCCACCTGCCTCTCAACCGATCTCGTCTTTCCCTTCGTCCTTTCCGAGTTCACTAACTTCTTTTTTTCATCATTAACTTTTCTTTATTGAACCCCATTTCCCTCTCTCAACAATCCCATTTCTACACCTCCCCCCATTTTTTTTTCCCTTAATCCCGCTGAAAAAGTTCCCCGTCTATTTTGTTCCTTAGCCCCCCCCCCCCACCTGCCTCTCAACCGATCTCGTCTTTCCCTTCGTCCTTTCCGAGTTCACTAACTTCTTTTTTTCATCATTAACTTTAAAAAATAATTATATATAAACATTTACTTGCTCCGGGTATTCTATTCTTATTCTTATCTATTCTTATTCTTATTCTATTGTTATCTATCCTATTCGGCATTGATAGACAGACCCCAGATTTGCGCTATCGTTTTCAAAAAAATTAAGAAATAATTTTTTTGTTTTGCTATTTTTCAAATTTCTCAAAATTATCAAATCAATAAAATTCCATAACGTTGTGTTATTTTATAACAATAACTCACCTGAAACGTTTTTGCAGTTTATGGTATAGTTAGAGCTTTCTGCAGATGTAAGTAAAAAAATTAATTGTACTGAAAGTGAAAAAGAAAAAAGGCTTGCCCTGGTAAAATAATCATCTACCGTTACAAGATTAACTTGTCTGCAAATCGTCCCACGGATTTCAATGACGTCTTAAGCTTCGTCAGCTCGTTGTGCACAGTAATGGTTATTGTGACTTTCAGAAATTACAATTTGTGGGAAAATAACTGGTTGATAGTTGATACACCCCCCCCCCCAAGAATAATCAAAGACGACTCACACAAATGTGTTTAATTTCAAAAGCAATTGCATTTATAAAGATTCTTTAAAATATAGAAGGGGAAAAAAAAACGTCTTTATTTGGATGGTGTTAGAGTTTCTGCATATGAAGTGAAACAAAAACAAATGGTATGTGAGAGTGTGTGTGTGTGTGTGTGTGTGCGCGTTGGGTTGGGGGACCTCTCAACTTTGGGTTAATTCCTTTTCAGTTTAAGAACTTGATATCAATAAGCGAAATCGCATTATGTTTAATCCGTCATATTTTTCTGAGTCAAGGTTCTGGGGTTAACCCTGCTAAACAGGCGCGAGTTTATTTGGTGTTTTTTGTGTGTTTCTTTTAATTTGTTATTGTCTTTTGTTATAAAAAAAAACGCAACATCACGTGAAAATAGGTTTTAGCTTAGATCAGTGGCGTAGCTAGGGATTGCGTCACCATGTGCGGTGTGCACCTCCCCCCCCACACCACTGGCTACGCCACTGGCTTTGGCTTCACTTCATTTTTGTTAAAAAACGTTGTCCTTTTAAAACTATTCATACAATGTTTTTTAACGAAATAAATAGTTCAATGTCGTCTGGTTTCTGTACAAACTTGAAATGATTTCACAGTATTTAATACAGATTATAATCTCATTGAAAAAAAAACAATATTTCGGGAAAGGGTAAATTTAGAATGTAAGGACAAAATCACGTGTTTCACGCCCATGCCATCAATTTATTTTATGTAAATAACATCAAATTACTTTACGTCTACGCCATCACATTACTGTATTTCTATACCGTCAAATTACTTTATGTGTACGCCATCAAATTACTTTACCTCTATGCCATCAAATTAGCTTAGATTTAATGTATTCCTTTGATAAAATAAGCCAAATATAACATATAAACATAATTCATTGTGAGTAATGGGCGCTACATGTAAATTCATCAATGTGCCATAAATGTAAGGACTAATATATTTGAGGACCCCTGCGAGTTTGCGGGGCTATTTTTATAACCCAACAAAAAAAATAAATACTTACCGATTACTTCCAGCCACACAAGGCCAGTTTCCATCACAATGTTTATTTTGATATGTGAACCTTTGAAAGTTGTGTATTTCTTATCAAAACTGGGGAAAACATAGCAATGAAATATTTTAGTCGTTATTCAATAGACATACCATTATCACGTTAATGAGAAAATGAATGTTTATTAAAAAAAAACAAGTAGTAAAATATGCAATGTGCAATATTTTCTGACATGTCTGAATTGTGAATGGGCCGCTGTGTTATTTGATATAATTCTCCTGTAATCAGGCCCATCCATAAGTCTTTACAATGATCATGTGTTATCATAGCTGCACATAAACTTGGACATGCATCAACCTGGAAATGGACTCCCCGTAAAATGAATTACAAATAGAAGTTACATAAAAGCAGGCATGGGCAGCCCCCTGACCCCCCCCCCCCCCCCCAAATCAAGTATATAACACAGATAAACGTAATCTGTATTCATTCAATTTACACAGAAATCGGTTAAAACAACTTAAATGAGAGAAAAGGTAAAGAAGTTTGACATTAGTTTAGCTTTCATTTTTAAAAAAAATGAGCCTTGTATTACATTATGGTTTTTTTTAATATGGACATATCATTTTGTTGTTTATTTTATTTGTTCAGTGTCTTAAATTTGAGTCGCGTCAAAACACCACACGCGATGAAAGCGGCCCATAAAGCTTTTTGGCGTGACTCCCCCCCCCCTCTTTTTTTTCCCCCCAAACAAGGCAGCATTGAGAGAGTTCACTGCCTTCTTTTGTCCAAAGTCTGTAGTCACCACTCTTCATCAGGTTACAGTGGCCAATATTTTATTTTTACAATAGTCACGTTACTGAAATAAAGTTAGTTATTTCTTATCCATTTGTATATGCCTAACACGAATATGACGGTCATTTATATCCCTGCCCCCGTCCCTTTAAAAGGGCAATGAAATCACCACAGTGGTTTCAGTTGTACTTGTTTTGCTTCATTGGAATTCTGCAGCTGCTTTAAGTTGTCGAATGACCCTTTCATGTGGACAGCAAGCACCCCTGGAATAGATGGAAGACGGTTCCTATTGTCGAAACGCATAGTCCCAGTTTCGAAGAGTCTACAAATAGTCTCCATTCTAGCGGGTAACGAGTCAATTTTAAGCCATTCGTTAGGCCCCCAATATCAGAACAGAACACCAGATAAAATTCATTTTTAAAAAAAGGCTCCGACTGATTGTGGCGTTTCCAATAAAAGTAATTGTGACATCTTTTTTTCTAGAAGATTCCATTGTGCTGTCTTGATCCTAGAAATTCCGCCTCGGTCTTGGATAAGTCCAAGTCACGAACAATGTCATTAAGTTCTTCCCATGTCAGTCTGTGTGGGGATGATAAAGCACCACTCAGTTAGTCTATGTGGGGTTGATGATGCACTACTGAGTCAGTCTTTGTCGGGTGGATAATGCACCAATGTGTTAGATAAGGGCTTTTTAAGTCATAATGATTTTAATGTTGGCGAGTGCCATTTACTATCTGTGCTATAAATATACAAACAAACCAGGGAAGCGCTTCGTGATACTGAAAGAAATAGCGTTCATCAAGATAACAAACACAGAAATGTAACTGTTGACTGAAATGTAAATTGTCATGGCATAAGGAGAAAAAAATAAAACAAGAAAAAGCAAGCAAAAACAAAAACAACCTACTGGGGTTGAAAGTAAACATAACCTTATTTAGGAAACACGTTGGGACATTAGTGGAGCTAGAGTTAGTGCCACCCTTAGTGCATCGACACACAAAAAGCGCAATCATTGCAAACATTTTGACAGGACATCTACACACAACATCTACAAGCAATGCTAAAATTTTGACAGGATATCAACACATGAAAAGCACACCCAATGCAAACATTTTGACAGAACATCTACACACAACATCTCAAATAAATGCTAAAATTTTGACAGGACACCTACACACTAAAAGCACAATCAATGGAAACATGTTGACAGAAATCTACACAAAACATCCACAATCAATGCAAACATTTTGACAGGACATCTATACACAACATCCACAATCAATGCAAACATTTTGACAGGACATCTATACACAACATCCACAATCAATGATAACATTTTGACAGGACATCTACACACAACATCTACAAGCAATGCAAACATTTTGACAGGACATCTATACACAACATCCACAATCAATGATAACATTTTGACAGGACATCTATACACAACATCCACAATCAATGATAACATTTTGACAGGACATCTACACACAACATCGACAATCAATGCAAACATTTTGACAGAACATCTACACACAACATCTACAATCAATGCAACATTTTCACAGGACATCTACACACAAAAAGCACAAAAAATGTACACATTTCGCCCGCCCATTTATACAACAACGTCATGTGATTACTGCTCACCTCTTTAGCTTCGTCTTTTTCGAATTGTTTCTATCCAAAGTGATCTCCATCTGACTTTGACAATCGCTTGATGCGTCGCACGCACGTCCAAAGTCGACCTGAAGTGTCCTCAAAGAAATGGGGCTTTTGTCGTCATGGGACTTCAATGTGCACACCGTTTTCACATTACTTTGTGACTCTAGTGCTAACATGGTAGGTCCCTTATGTTTAACTGTCGTCTCAAACTTGCGGCACATGTCAAAAACACCTTTAGGAAAACGTTTGACGTAAGAAATACATTTGACAGGCTACTGAAATGTTTGTTGTGTCAAGTGGTGCAGCCATTGCAAGAGGGAGAATCGAATTTATGGTACACCCCTTCCACAAAAAAAAAACAAAAAAAAAAAAAAAACAACTCTTGCAGTTGATCGAAAATTATGTTTGTTGTGGCAAGTGGTGCAGCCATTGCAAGAGGGAGAATCGAATTTATGGTACACCCCTTCCACAAAAAAAAAACAAAAAAAAAAAACAAACAACTCTTGCAGTTGATCGAAAATGCCGCCCCTCTATAAAAAGAGAAATCGTGCCATAATGGGGCTATCGCCGTCACCTGGAACCCCCTTGCTACGTCACTGGTTTTGTTTACTTATAGAACTTAAATTTTTAAAACGAGATATGGTTCCTTTAGTTCTACTGTCTAAAAGTGTTATGATGAAAGCAGTGAACCCAAAATTTAGACACATATCTTAAAAGCAAAGTTGGAGGCCACACTGAAAAATTAGACTTTTGAAATAACATTTTTTCTTTTAAGTAAAATATAACGATATACAATAGAAGAAGGCAGGAGAAGGATTTTTTCACGAGAAGAAAAGTATTTACAGTCACTTTAAAAAAAAACAAAGGAGAAGGACTTTTAAAAAACAAAATAATACCTGGGAAAACTCTTGTTTGCAATCAGAAAATGTCGCGTCATAAGTGAGAGTTTCATCCCTTTATTTACTGAGTTTAACTAAATAACTTTGTCATTGACGGTTCACTTTCAGAGAAAAGCATGTGTAGCTTCTACTGACACCCAAAGGTATCAACTCGTCATTAACTTTATACCTTAAACAATTGGTGAGAGAGAGAGAGATAGGAAGAGAGATAGAGAGAGAGGAGAGAGAAAGAAGAGAAAGGGAGAGAAAGAACGAGAGAAAAAAGAAAGGGGAGAAAGAACGAGAGAAAAGACAAAGGAGAGATAGAGACAGAGAGAGAGAGAGAGAGAGAGAGAGAGAGAGAGAGAGAGAGAGTTGCAGATTTAGACAAAGAAGTGAAAAATGGAGAAATGAAGTAAAAGAGGAATATATAAATGAGGAAGAGAAATATTCAGAGAGAAAGAGAGAGAAATAGAAAGAGAGCAAAGGAGACAAAGATTTATACATAGATTAGGAGAAAGAGAGAGGAAGGGAAAGATAGAGAGAAAAAGAAGTAAGGAGAGAGAGAGAAAGAGAAATAAATAGATATAGAGCTAGAAAGTGAGATAAAGAGAGTGAGAGGTAGAGATAGAAAAAGAGAGTGAGAGGTAGAGATAGAAAAAAGAGTGAGAGGTAGAGATAGAAAAAGAGAGTGAGAGGTAGAGATAGAAAAAGAGAGGGAGATAATGAGAGAGGGAAAGAAAGATAGAGATATACAGATGTGGAATAAAAGAGAGAGATAAGATTTAAAAAAAAAAAGGGAAGGAGGAAGGAATGGTAAAATTGAGACATAGAGATAGAAATGGAGAAAAAGAGAGATGTATAGAGATAGAGAGATAGTTATACAGTTGAAAGCCATTGTATAGAGAGAGAAAAAGAGAGGGAGATAATGAGAGAGGGAAAGAAAGATAGAGATATACAGATGTGGAATAAAAGAGAGAGATAAGATTTAAAAAAAAAAAAGGGGAAGGAGGAAGGAATGGTGAAATTGAGACATAGTGATAGAAATGGAGAAAAAGAGAGATGTATAGAGATAGAGAGCTAGTTCTACAGTTGAAAGCCATTGTACCATTAACAAAAAATTAAATTCCAATTTAAAAGTTAAGGAGTCTTTAATAAAAAGGTAATACATTTACATACCATATTGTTTACAATCATAGACTATGGCGATGCGACTGATGGGGAGTGAGACATCGTTACATTTAAATTTCTCTAAGTATTTCAAGGAAGTGGTCAAATTACACTCAAGTTTTCTACTGCAGTCTCTCCTTATGGCCGCCGCAAAGATATTTTCTGAGAAAGAATCTTTGCCACTCTCCTTTGGATAACTTCTCTTTATTCATGCAAATGAAATTATTTAGAATGTGTTAATTGGAGGGCATAAAATAAAACTAATACAGATTAAATATTACTGCCAATACCCCCGGAACTTCCACTAATGTTCTAGCTCACACCATCACCATAGCCGCACTAGTTGCTAAATTGAATGGTAAGTCATTGATATAGGCTAGGAAAAGAGTGGAACTGAAGACTGACCCTTGCGGAAGCCCTTCTTCAAGGGGTTCTTTTCCAGGAGGTTTTGCTGCCAAATTTCGTGTTGATTATCTGGTTTATAGAAAACAGGAAACCCACTTGCACATATTTGCACTGATTGTCTGGTTTATAGAAAACAGGAAACCCACTTGC